TAAGGAGTAGTTGATGGTGAAGAATGTTCCAAGTAGTGATGGCATGTATCTGTGTCTGCTGGGGATGGGAGAGACAAGGGCTGCTCAAGGCACTGCAAGGCAGTGAGTGTGGCCAGAGATGGATCTAGAGAGCTGAGCAGAAGTCACATTAAGCAGGCACATAGGGCTTGTTGTTAAGAGCTGTCGAGTCTATTTGACACTGATCCATAGCTACGCTGTATAGGGTTTTCAAGGTGCAACTGGTGAGCTTGAATCACCAACCTTGTGGTTCAAACCGACTTTGCAGTCTAATGCATTAACCCACAGTGCCACACCAGGCCTCCTAAGGCTTGTTAAAGGGGGCTGAATTCTATTCTGAGCCACATTGTTTCAAGTGGGTAGTGACACAGTTGGATTTGCATCTTAGCAAACTTGTCTGGCTTTCATATGGAGAAAGGATTGGAGGGTGACCAGTGAGTTGGCAGAGAAAGTCATTCTTGGAGTTGAGACCAGAGATGAAGGGCCCCTGGACTGTAGTGTTTGGTGTCTCCATCTTCTTAAGAGCATCTGTTTGAGGCCTGTCTTCCCCTGGGATTGCATATTCCATACAATCAGGAACTAAGTTGCCCCTGTTCATGCTGTAAGCTGGCACCAATCTCTATGCCTGGTACGTCATATGCAGTTGAAAACAAACTTGCTGAATGAATGTCTTCCTGTGAGCCTGAGGTTACCTCCCTGAGCTTCATTATGTTTAGTACAGATACCTTCATTATGACATTCTTGCAAATATGCTGGTGAAGTAAAAGCCCTCTGTACATTGTAAAAGGTGATACTTCGGTGGTGAAAACAGAGCATTTGCCATGTCAGCCTATTTCATGTATACCATTCTGGGCCACTAATTATGTTCATCATGCTGTACAATCATCACCAAGATCACAGAAACCCAGTGCTCTCTAAGCTACAGAAAGCTCCTCTTTCCCCTCTTCCTCCCACCTCTCCTCCCACTAATAAACTTTGGTCTCCATACAGTTGCCAAAATTCTAGATATTCCAAAATAGCTGGGGTCAGCTATTTGTTGTTTTGTGATGGAATTATTTTACATAGCATAATGTTTTCAAGATTCAGTCATGCGGTTGTAAACAGCAGGACTTCATTTTTCTTTCTGGCAGAATAATATTCTATTGTAAGTAGCCGTGCTGACACAGTGGTTAAAGCGATTGGCTGCTACCTGAAAGGCGGGCAGTTCAAATCCAGCAGCCGATAGGTGGGAGGAAGATGTGGCAGTCTGCCTGGGTAAAGATCACAGTCTCAGAAACTCTCTGAGGCAGTTCTACCCTGTCTGTGGGGCCACCATGCGTCAGAATTGATTTGACAGCAATGGATTTGGTTTTGTATGTGGGTTGTTATTGTTGTTAAGTGCTGTCCAGTCGGTTCTCACTCATAGCGACCCTGTAGAGGGTTTCTGAGAAGCAACTGGTGGGTTTGAACTTCTGATCCTACAGTGCCACATTTTATTGGTGCATTCATCTGTTGTTGGATAGTTAGTCTGTTTCTGCCTTTTGGCTATTGTGAATACTACGGCAATGAAATCGGAAAAAGTATCTACGCTCCTGGTTTCAATTCTTTTGGGTCTCTTTCTAGGAGTGGAATTGTTGGGTCACATGGTAACTCAGAGTTTAACCTTTTGGTTTTTTTTCACAGTGACTACAACATGTCACAATTCCATCAGCAGTAGATGCAGGTTTCTAGTTCTCTACATTCTTGCTAACACTTATTTTGGTTTTAAAAGTGATACTTGTCTTAAAGCTGTAAGACATTATGTTACAAATATGTATAATGCAGTATCTCAGCTGGCTGTGCCCTTAACAAGTTTGTTGTTGATGTTTTGTTTTGAGAATCCTGTTTATTCCACTCAAACAGGAAAGACCCCTGTGCCCAAATATTGCATTGGAGAGCTTATCCAGTCATCTAGGTTGTTGTTGTTGTTAAGTGCCATCTAGTCGGTTCCGACCCTGTGTAGGGTTTCCGAGGAGCGGCTGGTGAGCTTGAACCACCAATCTTGCAGTTCAAACGGCTTTGCAGTTGGATGCATTAACCTACAGTGCCACACTAGGACTCCCAGTCAAACCCACTGTCATGGAGCTGAGTCCAACGCATGATGACTGTATAGGACAAAAGAGAACTGCCTTCGAGGGTCCCTAAGGCTGTACATCTTCACAGAAGTAAACTGCCACATCTTTCTTCCATGGAGAGGACAGAGCAGTTGGTGGGTTTGCACCGCTGATCTTTTGGGTAGTAGCTGAGCGCTTTACCCATTGTGCCATCATGGCTCCCTATATATGTTGTTGTTGTCATGTGCCGTGGAGTCGGTTCCGACCCATAGCAACGCTGTACAAGGTTTCTGAGGCTGTAAATCTTTACAGGAGCAGAAAGCCTCCTCTTTCTCCCGCGGAACAGCTGGTAGTTTCGAACTGCTGACCTTGTGGTTCACAGCCTGATTTGTAACCACTATGCTACCAGAGCTCCTTTTATATATATAGCATAAGAATAACTGAATTGAAAAAGCAAAGCCTGATTGTTGCTCTCACCATTTTGCAATGATAAAGGAAAGGTAAAGAAAGTGGGAAAGTTTTTTCTGACATTTTAGCCAGTTCAGTCCTTTGATTTTATTCTCTTTGCATCATTTTATGGCCTAGTAAATCACTTTCTATCTGCAATGCTTTAAAGTGAGATTTGCTCTCATGGTTAGCGTTTTAATTTTGACTTATTACATACACAAGAGTCTCTTGGTCCTGTCCCATAAAACAGTTCTGACACTTTCTTAGTACTTGTTACATTTATATCAAACCTTGTTGGCTCACGTGTTTGGGAGTAAGCTCAACTGTATAGTGTAAAAACTGGACTGTGAACAACAGGGTAGGCAGTTTGAGCCCACCAGCTGCATCTCGGGAGAAAGATGAGGCTTTCTGTTCGCACAAAGATTTGCATCCTCAGAATTAATATTTTCCCCCCTAAATATTGTGTCATTTTTTTGGGGGGGGGTCTATGTCTACATTTCCCAATCTTCTGTATTTATTAGTAATAAATATAGTTAGTAGCCCTCTTTGTTGAGACAAAAGGATTGAGGGGAACATTTTTTTGTGTGTATGTAATGTGGTTTCCTCATTCTTTAAGCAGTGCTCCTTCATTAGTTCCTACCACTCATCTGTCAGCTTGTTGTACTGCTTTGGCTTGTGTATTGCTACAATGCTGGAAGCTAAGCCACAGGTATTTCAAATACCAACAGTGTAACAACAGTGGACAAGTTTCAGCAGAGTTTCCAGATGAAGACTTGCTTTTGTTAAGTGTCGTTAAGTCGATTTCAGCTCATAGTGACCCAGTATAGGGTTTCAGGGGAGCAGCTGGTGAGGCTAAACTGTGGATCTTTCAGTTTAAACCGACCTATCTCACAGCATCAAACCAGGACTCCAGGCTAAGACCAGCGAGAAGGAAGAGGCAGACCATTCCTGAAACATTAGCCACTAAAGCCCTTATGAATAGCAGTGGAACATGTTATTATTAGTATCCTCATTAGTTCAAATATTCCATCCATACAAAACATATAGCTATTTTACAATAAATTAATCTACTGTGCCTTCTGAATTTTCCTTCTGAACTGATTACAATTTCGTATCTTCCCCAAATACAAACGAAAAACAAACCCACTGCTGTTGAGTCGATTCTGACTTATAGCTATCTTAGCATTAGGAAGTTTATACCAAAGACTTGAGAAATTAGATTGTTTAAATGGCTATAAATGTCTGTTGTTGTTGTCCTCAAGTCAATTCCCACTTATGGAGACCGGGTGTGACACTGTATGATAAAGCACTGGTCAGTAGTTCAAATTTACTAGCTGCTCTTTGCAAACCTTATACAGGGTCCCTATGAGTCAAAACCGACTGGACAGCCCTTAACAACAACAACATAGGGTTTCCAAGGAGTCCTGGTGTGGCACTGTAGGATAAGCACTGGACTGCTAACCACAAGGTTGGAAGTTCAAACCCACCAGCTGCTCCTTTGAAACTCTATATAGGGTCGCCATGAGTCAGAACTGACTGGACAGCATTAACAACAACCATTAGGATTTCCAAGGAGCCACTGGTAGGTTTGAACTGCCCACCTTGTGGTTCACAGTCCAGTGCTGATCCTAGAGCACCACACCAGAAGTCCAGGTCTAGGTATTCTAATTAATCCTTGCCTATTAAAATTAATAAAAAAGACTGCAGCTAGAGCCTGTTATAAATTGATTTTGTCACGAACACTCTTCTTATATTTACATGATGTGTGCCGTGTAAAAACTGTGACAATCCATGTAAGAACAGTATTTGCGTACAAGCTAGTCTCTTCTATTCCAGGGCCTCTGCCCTCTGCCAAGTGGTTGTCCCTAGACATTTCCCTTCCTTAAATTGTCAGCTCAAATCCCTGTGACACCGTTTTTATTTTTATCAAGATAAGAAATAACTCTATTGTGTTCTTCCTTTGCCATGTTTCTCCTTCATAGGTCGGGTCATCATTTTCTCCCAGGGGTCAACAGCGTTAGGACACCTCTGTTAAAAGGAAAAGTATTTAGCATTTCCATGGAGCCAAGACAGGCCATTCGCTGGCCAGAGGGAAACCTTATTTCTTGTAACTCGGCATGACTCCGCAGAAATCATGCTAAAAATGAATCTGTGCACACACTGCCTTTGCGGCAGGCAGACGCTATGTCCCAAATCTCACCTTTCCCACCAGTAGGGGGAAGGGACCTCAATGAAGTCCCTCAACCCACGCTCCAAGTCTGGACCACACACCAGTCCCCTAGAGCCTTCGCTTCCAGTGCGCTCGGAGGACGCCAGCCACCGCCACGTCAGCAGACGCGCGTGACGCCAGCGCGCCTGCGCATGAGGAAGACGCGGAGCGCGCGCGCGAAGGCCCGCCCCCACATCCGGGGCTTCGGATGCCGCGGTAGCGCCGCGCGGTGGTCACGTGGCTCCTTCCTTTCCGTCTCTAGCCGGCTGGGCGCGGGCGACTACTGGCGAGGCGCGTGGAAGCCCGCGCCGGTTCCCCTTGGTCTCCGCACCTCCCGGGTCACTACGGAGTTCACTGACGCCGGGTGAACTGAGTCTGCCGCCAAGATGCCGGCCTACTTCCAGAGGCCGGAAAATGCCCTCAAACGCGCTAACGGTGAGTAGGGGATCGGGCGGACGGGGCTGGGACGGCCCGAGGCCTGGGAGGTCGAGGAGTCGGGCCTGCGTCTCTCTGCTCCGCCCCCGGCTGCGGCCGGAGACAGGCCCGTGCGGCCCGCTTGCCATAGCTCGACCCGGGGCCGGGCCGGCCTTTCGCTTCTGCCCCAGCCACCGCGGGTGAAAGCTCAGAGCCGGGAACCGTCGCTTCGGGGCCTCTCCTTCCGCTGCCTCCGGCTGCGTCTCGGCGGCTGCGGCCCGGGGCACAAGCCCCACTCGGGCCGGATCTCCTTCCCCCGTCCGCTTCCGCCTGGCTCCTCAGGCCTTGGGGCTGCAGTGTGCTTAGGCCCCGCGCCCCCGGCCGCCATCTGGGAGTGCCGCGGAGGAAGAAACATGGCTCCCTCTCGGGGACAATGCACGCGAGAAGCTCGGCTCCACCTCCCGCCGGCCGGGAGCCGGGCCGTCCCACCCCGGCCTCCTGCAGGCATCTCTGCGCCCCGAGCCCCGCGCCAGCCGGTGCCGGGCCAGGGTCCACCCATCCGGCCCCCTGCCACCTTCTCCCCGGCTCGGGGCGGTGACCTAGTTAACCCGTTTCTGGTTATCCGGGTATAGATTAGCTCCAGTCCCAACCCTTTTCCCGAATCGCAGGAAGTTGGAGCGGAGTTAATTTTGTTGGAGGATTCCTGTCCTCTCGAGATAACGAAACTGAGGCCTAGAAAGAGAGAATCGTCTGCCCAAGGTCACTCCACAGCAGTTGAGCCAGGAGAGCATAACTAAGGTTTCTGGACATCCAGACCTGCCCTTTTCCCCCCCGTCCTACAGTCTGGCGATTGGTGTTTCCGTATGTCGGCCTCTGCGGAAAACTTTGTCCTGAAATGAATATTCTTCTGTAGTTAAAGTCGCCACCTAGTTAGGGGGCATTTGTTAACTTTGGCATTATGGGAATGCATATGTGTTTATGCAGGTCTCTGATCTTTGAAAAAAAAAAAATGCGTGTAGAGTTTGTTGCTTAATTTTTAGGCGTTCAAGCGTCCACTCCTCCCCCACCCAACAAGTTTGAGATCCTAAGCCGAGTGTCCCTTGTCTATTACAATTTTATGAGTTTGTGTGAAAATTGCTCTTGTAAAAAGATCAGTTTCAGTTAATACATAAAATCTATTACTAGAGATAGGTAACCTGTCAAGGCAGGTTTGTGTGGGTCACAACTGCCAGGACTTAAAAAAAAAAGTTCGTGTGGAGTCCTGGTGTGGCTCTGTGGGCTAATGCAGAGAACTGCAAATTAGTTTGAACCACAAGGCTGGTGGTACAGGGTCGCTATGGGTCGGAATTGACTCGATGGCACTTAGAACAAGTACTTATAAATTTTAGTGGGCTACCCCAGGTTATGGGTTAGAGTAATTGCTTAAAAAAACACTACAATTTAGCCATGTACTGATTAGAACAGGGTGAAGTTTTAAGGTGTTTATTCATTTATTTGAGATAAAGTAGATTTGAATTAGAATCTATCATTACAAAACATAAACTAGCAGAGGTATGAAAACGTGTATATGATGCTTTGAGATGTAGACGTTTACCATGATATTCAAAGTTGGATGGAATTAGTATTCTGCATTGTCATTAAGTGCCATCTGAGTCGTGTCCGGCTCAGAGTGACCCTGTATAGGGTGTCCAAGACCTTTAAATCTCTGCCCTAGCAGAAAGCTTCATCTTTCCGGTTTGCAGTGCTAAGCATGCTTCACCAGCAGGCATTCTTCCAGACTGGTAGGCTTGTTGTTAAGTGCCATCATGTTTTGGTGCCCACTCATAGTGAGCAACCAGTAAGTATAGTGTTTCCGAGAAGCTACTGTTGAGCTTGAACCACTGACCTTGTGGTTCAAACTGACCATGTGGTCCTGTGCTTATCACAGCGCCACACCAGAAAGCACTGTAATCTCGATGGCCTAAATAGGGTCCAGATGATGTGTTCATACCCTTTTTTGGAACCTATGAATTTAATATTTCAGTAGCTGTTTAAAATTAGTAGAACTATAGAATTTGTGTTACATCTTTTTCTGTTGGCCTGAAGTGGCAAGTTGTAGAGAGTAACCAAAATTAATGTAGGCAAGAGAAGAAAAGGACACTAGTTTCTAGAAGGTGTGTATCAACTCTTTGCAGCAGGTTTTGTAAGCTGTGGGATGGGGTTTCTGTGATAGAGATACTGTTTTACCTTCCAATTAGTAACTCTTGTCTCTCTGCTCTTTAAGAATGAGAATTTCCTTCATGAAGTGTCAGAGTGGGCAGATGTGGATGGGAGAGGCATATGGTCCTGCTTACAACTTCAAATAGGATAGCGTACATTTCATTCAGTGGAAATGAATTAGTTTAGATGTTCTATGTATGACATTTGTGACTCCATACATATTTAGGCCCAATTAATTGTATTTTGTTACCAAAATATAAATAAATTTGAGAAGGGAAGGATAGTCCTGTAGGTCCCCATGGGTCTGTATCAAGGCACCATTAAAAAAAAATTACAGTAATCAGTTCAGGAAGAGGAGAGTTTGGTTCAGCAGTTACAGCAAGTTCATCTCCCACAATTGTTTGAAGAAAGCTCCTTTTCTAGATTCCAACTTTAGTGTTGCCAAAGTAGCTGCTCCTGATTCTATAAACGCCTTTTAATTTGTACTTTACAACCAGACTCTTAAAAAAAATAAAGCTGTTGTAAACCCATAAATGGAATGAGTAACATTATAACTTATTTACTTGGGTTGATGCTCAAGTAAACTCATAAATACAATGACCCATGCATCTTCTTGATAGATACATAGTTTCAGTCATTTATTTCAAAAATATCAATCTGGAAATAAACATTTTTCAAATATTGTAATAGTCTTTATGACAGTTCTTGACATCACACTTTCTAATCTGATAATTCTGAGCAACGAAATCACCTAATATGTAAATTAGGACAAAGATGGGACGACACATCAGATTATAGTGAATTAATTTGCCACTAGGTAGATTTTTGATGAGCTCAATTGCAATTTAATATTTTCATATGTATTGCTTGTTTTTGGAAAAAAACTGTTTCCTTTCCAGTTTCTTTAAAAAAAAAATCTGAGTTTTTAAAAAAGTATCTTAATTTTTATTGTGGGTGAATGGAGTTTTTTTTTTTTTTTTTTT